AAAAAATAAATCAGCAACTATTTTGATAATTAATTTTAAGGTAAGACTGATAAAAAAAATAGTTGGAGTCTGTCAAGAGACTGGAAATGGGAGAGGTTTAGACCACAATATGCTTTATTTATTTAGTTATTTTACTGAGGGAACATTTGAAGGTGTAAATGTACCTTTCCTGTCCTGTGTAGTAACTCCTTGTATAACAGCACACAAACTGAGAGCATCTGACTCATGAATGCCCATTAAAGGTTGTCGTACTTTGAGAACTGTTAATCTTTGTAGCAAGTCTCAGTCAAGCTCACTTTGACTAGACTCGCCCCACACTATTGTAACACACTGTGTTTATTGTTTTCTGTGGTTTTACACAACATGGAGATCCCACATTATCCCACCCGGGCTCTGATATTTTGCACCTTTAGTTGGATCTAGCTGTCATACTGTATTATGTTTGGTTTTCATGCTGATTCTTATAACTCTGCCCCAATTTAAAAATGTGTAATTTGAACCCCACAGAAACCAGCACCTGCAGGAGATGTCAGAGTGACTCAGGTATAGCTACCCTCCCTTCTGGGCTGCAGCATCTCTTTGGCTTGTGACCCACACGCATCCTGGGGAGGATGGGATCTGCCCACTCCCTCCATCTCCACCTGTCCTCTGTCTAGCATCCTTCCATCCATCCTCTCCCCCCTCTGTCCTCATGTCTGGTGTACTGCCAGAGGTCATAGATGAAATTCTGTCAAACCAGCCAGATGGTAAAGCTACACAGTTTTGCCAATAATGAACTAAATAAACAATTATGTAAAATCAAAAGTCAATTAATTAATGGCACAAAGTATTACATTTTAAGTTGGAGACCATTTCAGATTTGGATTTTTCTGATACATGTGTACAGTACATTTAAGGTCTGGTTTTGGTTGAGTGTGATTTCTGACACAAAGCTGTCTCTCTGCAGGGCATGTTTGAGTTGTTCTGCCTCCAAGCTGTTGAGACTAAAGCCCATTTGATATGCTTTCTCTTGGAAGAAGTTTGCTGGAGAGAGAGAGGGGGCAGGATGGGGGATATCATTGACTGCTTAAATGGCTTCCATTACACTTCCGCAAAAAAAAAAGCATGACTTTTATTTATTTCACAGGATTTTATATCCCCTACATATTTTGCATAATATTTTGTACCCACTCAGCACAGAGCTACCTGCCAGTGTTTTACAGACCTCTGCCTAAATTGCTTCTTTTTTTATCATCCCACACATTGTCTCAGAAGGCTTCTGTGTTTAGTGTTGCAGTGTTCATGCTCAGAGTGTAATTTTTCATGTAGTATTTTCTCATTTTGTCTGTGTTGTTATCAACAAAAATACAGTAGAGCTGCATGCAAAATATTATGTCTCTATCAAAGCCTAGCGTGACCAGTGTTGGTGACCAGAATTTGGCATGACAGCCAGATTTGTTTTCACTTCATGACTAGACTAGACTACAGGTGATGTGAGGATGCACAGTCTGAGAAGCAGGGATGTGCATTCCACCTTATTTACCAGATTTTATCTGCTTTGTCTTACACAGCGCTGTTGAGGAGTACAATGCAAACTTCTATAGTTTCACTTTTGCAAACCAGCCTAGTTAGCTATGCAAGTGAGTGTCCAAATTTATCCTACATTGTCAACATCAGAAGAAGATGGCCATTCACAGATGGTGATAATAAAATCTGATTTCAGCCACTGAAATAGCTTTTTCAGTGGGTGGAAGTTCGCTTTATTACTGACATGTGACATGCACTGCTATTAAACCAGGCCATTTTAGCATGTTCCTCTCTACTATATAGGCCAGTTGCTGGGTAAAACTAAAATGCTGCCTTTTTCTGTCATCATAAAACATATTTTGTTCAGTGATTCACACCTGTGCAGCACAATGACACTCCTCTGCTGCTGGCTTCAATATCTCCATTAATTGCTAACTGAGTATTAACTTCTTTGCTATAAGGGAACAGCAGTTCACAGAAAGATGAGGATGTCTCAGTCACCTTCCTGACCCTCTTGTGGCTGATCTTGAGCTTCGCATGTCCTATTTTAATCAACAAAGTGCAGTCACTGAATTATGTTGGGGCGCACACATTTAAAGTGTCTTAGAATCTGATAGTTAACCGTCTGTCATGATTTAGCTGGCAAATGATGTGCTCAGTGGCAGAAGGCTTTTACCACACACAGACACTCACAGATGCTTGTACACACAACACTGTCAGAGTTCATACTAATTAGCATTTGGGTTTCCATGTAAAAGAGGAATTGTACATACACTCTGTCATTAGTTAATGGGCCTTGTAGCCTGCCACCAGGCCTAATGCTCCCTCCCTGCTGCTCCCAGAAGGGCTGAGGTGAGATCAGAAGGTGCCAGGACTTCTGCTATCAGTCAGCCATACAACATTAAATACAGCCCGATTGAGGGGGACCCATATGTCTCTGGGCATTACTCAATTAAAAGCTGTAACATTACAGAAATGAAGCTATTCTGAGAGAGTTCTGGATAGTTTACGTTCTGCTCTCTCTGCTGCTAGAAGACTGAACAGACCACTTTTTAGGGAGAGGTCTCTGTGTCAAGACCTGTTTCATAGAATCCGGTAAAATCACCACAACACAACACATCAGCTTCAGACTAAGGTTCGAGTGTCTCCAAAGATTAGTCACCCACAGCCATGTATTTAAATAAATAATTGGATTTGGGTGTTGTTTTTTTTTATAATTATTTTTCTTGACAGTTTAATGCCTCTGCTTGCACTTTGAACATAAGAATGGTGAGATTAGCCTAGATAAACTCAATTTATGGATTTGGATGGTATTAGCAACGGCTTCTCTCAGAGTAGGTAAATACATCTTTACATGTCTTCAGACAGGCACGGCTTGTCTGGCATGTCTAAGTAAACTATGATGTAACTTTCATTTTAAGAGGCAAATATTGTTTTGCCTTTTTTACAGTTGTTTCTAACTGTAATATTATTGTTTGGATTTTGTAAGTACTTAGGGTGTACTCTCTATATTAGACTAAGAACTGCAAACCCTCAGTGCAGGAGAAGTTGCAACGCTGCCGCAAGCTCCTGATGAACGTAATTTTGCACGCTACAAACTGTCGACTGTCATGTCAGCACATTATCGGATAGCGCTGTCATTCAAGAGCTGCTGCTTGATCCTGTAGATACCCAGTGTTTGAGCAAAGCTAGACTAAGCCTGTGTGAGGAGAACTAATAACATATCAGGCACTTTCGTTGTAGAATTTACTTTAAGTAAAGTTATTGTTTTATGATGTTGTAAATTATTCCTGGAATAGACACACACAGGATTTGATTCACAATGATTCAGCTCAGCATCACATATCGCATTCATTTATCCTTTTACAGTCTTAATCATTGTTGTGAGTAGTTTCTTTGACAGTGGAAGCCGCTGCTGAAGAGACAGCTCAGAGTGAATAAGGTTTTAAACAAAGAGCCTTTGACCTTGGCTCATCTGTTAGAGCTTTCGGGAGCAAGTGGTGAATTAACTGCACGGCTTAAGTGTGAACTGAACGTTAATAAATGGAAAGATGAACGAGGAGAAACCTTGCATTTGCATTCTCCTGTTTTTGTTGGCCGGGTTGTCTGTGCTCTTGGCATCTTTTCTTCTTGTTCTCCATTATTGACCTTAACAAAACATCTTAATTAATAATAGTTTAGACAGATGGATCAGGATAGTATTTAAAGTTGTCACTATAATATGTCAGAAATGACTGTGAGGAATGTGGGTGTGTACTGTAAGCGAGAAGGGCATTTATGCAGACTAAAGAGATAAAGTGAGTAGTATGGTAGTTGTGGGTGTGTGACTGTGTTGGCAGGGGTGAAAACAAGGTCATGTACACTGCACTAAGCTTGCTAAATGTGTGCTATGCCCAGAGCGGACCCTCGCTCTGTTATGGATGACTTCTGGTCCTGGCAGCTTGTTAAATTCGGTGGCTCGTAGCCACATTGATATGATAAGTCACCACCACTCTCTTTCTTCCTCTGTGTCTCTATCGCTCTCTCTCCCTCTGAGAATGACTCCATCACTTGTGCTTGGAGCTGATCTTTAGGACTAAATGGTGGGCTGCCAGTTGAAGAGACAGTCCCTCATGTGGAGGTGGTGATTTAGTGGGGAGATAAGCTCTCTGTAATGGCAGGGTGGAATAATTCCTCTGTAACTAGGAGGCTTGGCTGTCTCCACCCTCCAGGAGGAAATGTTACCTCTCCTCTGCTTTGTGCTTCATTCCTTCCTTCTCTTTTTTCTTCCTCTCTCTTCTCTCCTTTTTGTGTGTAAATAGCATATTAAATTAAGTAGTGAACATTATAACCTTTATTTTTTTTTAATAAGGGGGGGTGTTGGCTCATGAAAAAACTGTATAACAGTATCTCAACTATTGTCTTCATGAAGGCAGTGAAAAGGCTGCACAGTGCGATTACTCCTTTAGACATGGCAGAAGACATGGAAAGTGTGAAGACAGTTGAAGTGCTGATGAGTAGAGGAAGTGGATCAGAGCGAAGATAGCACAGTTTCTTACTTCCTACGTATATACAGTAGATCGTATCTGCAACCTGAATTGCTCAGTCGCTGTGTGCCTCACGCTTTCAGCCTTGCCCTCTTTGTGACAGAAAAAGCTGCAAGTTCCTTTTGTGCTGTAGATGGATTTCATTTTACACTTTACACTGCAGGTAGAGATGATGTGATATCATGGTTGTGCAATCCATACAGGCAGATATTCAATGTCAGTTTATTGATCTAGACTGCCCCCTGGAGGCTTTAAGCAGTAACTTCAGGCTAAATGGCTGCAGCACACTGCACTTTGAAGACACCTGTCAGGGTAAATCTGTTCATTAGACATTTAAAAGTGTTACAAATTGAGCCAAAAACAAGAAAATCTAGTTCTTTTCTCAGTGGTCATTCACACACACAAGCCTCAACACAGTGAGGGGAGACTTAACGTGCATATGTGTGTGTCTGTGTGTTTTCCTTGCAGCCCTGCTGTCGTCGTGGTGCGAGGAGTTGGGTCGCCTCCTCCTGCTACGTCACCAGAAGAACCGGCAGAACGAACCGCAGGGAAAAGTCCCCATGCAGCCCAGCATGAGCAGCATGAAGCCTGGCCTCACACACAGGTCAGTGGGGAGCCCCTGAAGCATCTCCTCAGACTGTTCTTATCTTACAGTAAATGGATGTTATCAGTTCAGCTCAAGGATAATGATTCTCCATCCCACCAGTTAAATGAAGCTTTTTTTCTGGGGTCATAATATAAGTAAATGAGGAGCTACAAGGGCAAAACACATAAAGCATAAGATCTGGGAAATTGTGAAAAATTTGTTTTATTTGCTTTAATTCACTATATTTGCTTAATACTGATGTGTACAGGCTGAAATGAGAAAGTCGATTGTGAAGTGACCCTGGTAGCCTTAAAGCAGGCAAGAGAGAGAAAAAGCTTATCAGTCTGTTGCTTGGATGGCTGCCCAGACTGATCAAGGATGGTGGCCTTGACGGCTGAGGCAGCGGGCAAGGGGGGGGTCACGGGCACAGCCCTTAGCTGTGAAGTTATGTAAAGAGGGATTTGTGTGTGTGTGTGTGTGTGTGTGTGTGTGTGTGTGTTACGTCAATCTTGTAACCTAGCATTGAACCTGAAGGAGCCAGTGTGATTTGCATTTGTCATTTGTGGTCTTTTTATTTTTTTTTAGAAACATATATTGACCACTAAAATATATACTGAAGTATATCCCTAAGTAAGTCAGAGAGAAAGGTGGGATGAAGCAAGCCCCAGGCAAGGAGGAGCAGATAGAGGGGCTAAAAAAGAATGTCTCCAGCTCTGTAGGCGTTCTGCTCCATGGGCCGGAAACAGATGCTATTGTTTTTGATTTTTTTTTTTTTCTTCAGTAAATCTTATACTTTTCAACAGACTGTTTAGACTTTGAATGATTTTTGACAGCAGATCGAGAACTGTATGGGTGAGGACTGGACCCTGTCTGGCCCTGGGGAAAAGTTCTACCACCAAGTGCAGCTGTGCAGTGGCAGATGAGTCACTTGCAATTGAATTAAATAGGTTAAAACAGCTGTTTCTGCCCATATTATTCGACTTATTCTCTGCTGAATGTATTACCCATAAGATACATCTGAGTCTGATATTTTTATTGAGAGTACCGAGAACCCTAGAACTGATTCTCTACAGTCTCTCTCTGGTCTGTTTTTCCTCCATATTTTGCAATATTTTCCAACAACCTCAGAAACAAGCATACATTTGCAGGTGTTCTTTTTATTTCCTGCACCCACTCTGCTTATAAATCCGATCATGTGATTTCTACCAGAAATGTTACACAGTTATGTCATCATGCATATATTTTTTTTATTGTGAGAAAAAAACATTACACAAAACAATATGGAGGCAGTGGCCATAACAGTGACTAAAGCAACACCAGATAAGATGAAGCATGTGTTGGGAGGGATGGTGTGGCGTGAGTTTAGATGGTGGCTGTGGAGAAACGTAGGTGTCATGCATAGAAAAAGAGAAATGTAAACAAAATAAATAGAGGAGAGAAGAAAAATACATTGTTAAACTTAGTTAATGATTGTAAACTATATATGATAGGCAAAATGGTCAAGGTAGGAAAACTGTCTGATACCTGTCTGCTTTTTCAAGGTGGCCTATAATGTGTCCTTTGATTTTAGCTCAGATGATTTGGGGTGGAGGGGCAGACCACCAGGGAACACAGCTGTGAAGTAATGTTTTTGGAGAACAGTGTGTGCTCCTGCCTCTCTCTCTCTCTCTCTCTATCTCTCTCTGTTAAAGAAAGCTTGGACTTATCCAAGAGTCCTGTTTGCCTCTGCTGAGAATCTTGGGATAATGTCACGCTTTTATGAAGCAATACTGAACATGTCATCCATTCCAAGAGCTAACCTCTGAGCGAAAACAAACTGTTCTCCAAAAACAATTCCTGCTAGCTCTTACTGGCTACTTGCCTCTCACCATGATGATTTGTGTTGTTTATATATGTAGCAGACCCTCATGTTTTGCCCTTTTTGTTCTAAATCTGAATGCGAAAGAGTCTAACTGTTCTCCTCCTGTCTATAACAAAAGACTTTCAACAACTTAAAGAAATAATGTAATAATATTTAACTTTTCCTGTGTATATGTGGGGTCTTTGGAGCTTTTTTACTTATTTCACTGGCAGATGTCCTGGCTGAAATTATGTTCTGAAACTGAATGCCCAATATTTCAAACTGCCTTTTATTTATTCATATCTTTGGAGAGGCATGCAACTCTGGTGGCTTTTTTTCTAAGCCAGTTTAAACTTCAAGTGACATCAGGTACATCTTTGTGTTTTGATCTACTTTGCAGCGATGGATCCTTTCCCTATGACTCTGTCCCATGGCAACAAAACACTAACCAGCCCCCTGGGTCATTATCTGTGGTTACAACAGTGTGGGGCGTGACCAATACATCACAGAGTCAGGTATGTCCATGCAAGAACAGCATCCAGTCTGCAGTTAAATGTGTTCTCACCCACAGTCAGTGTCTGACTGAAAAGATTTGCCTATTTTGTTCATTTTCCAAACCTAATGGATATTTTATCCTTTTTATGATTCTTTGTTAAATCCAGGTGCTGGGTAACCCAATGGCAAACAGCAATAACCCCATGAATCCTGCAGGGAACCCTATGGGATCGGGAATGTCTACCAGTGCAGCAGGGCTCAACTCACCTCAGTTCAGTGCTCAGCAGCAACAGTTCCCAAACAAGGGAGGCTCCAACCAACCATACATGCAGCAGGGTATGTATGGCAGGCCTGGCTACCCTGGAGGTCCTGGGGGATACAGTGGGAGGTAAGAGACTGGAGACAAATTTCTTTTTTTTTTTTTTTTTTTTTTTAAAATCAAGACATAAAATTGACTGGTATGATTAAAACATGGTCTGTTTTTTACAGTTATTCTGGAGGCCCAAACGCCCCTCCAGGAGGTATGGGAATGACCTCCCACACACGTCCTCCTGGTGACTTCACTCAGCCGGCCGCCGCCGCTGCTGCTGCAGCTGTGGAAAACGCACACCACCCGCAGCACCAGCCACGGTGGCAGCTCTACAGGAAACGCAGAATAAAGATATCAACCAGTATGGACAGGTACAGTACACACCTGCTGACATGTTTACAGTTGTAACCGCTTACAAATACAAATATACACAGGATACTGTTACCCATTCACCTGCTGGAACCCCGACATAATTGTTTTAAACACTGAAACATTCTGTTTTGCTTCCAGATGTGTTCATCGTTTCAAATGGGCCCCGCTCAAGCCTACAACAGCCAGTTCATAAACCAGCCGGGCCCACGAGGCCCGCCTGGATCTATGAATCCAGCCAGCATGGGATCAGCCATGAACAACCCTAATATGAGTGGGCGTCC